GCCCCGTCCCGTACCTTTTGTCGTTTATCTTTACGACTCCCCTATCGCTGTCTCGCTCCCGCTTCTCATTCCGGCCCCGCCGTCTCACTCCCTCCCGCTCTCTGGGTTACTCGAGCCCTTCCGCTCCGCCCCGCCCACGTCACAAAGTTGCTCGGCGCCCCGACCCACGCACTGGGCTGGATCGGGCTTGTTTCTACCCCCTCCCCGCCAACCCCTAGCGAGCCAGTGTTCCGCACACAGTTATGTGGTAAAAAATAACAAAGTCCTAGCCAGGTAGACCTGCGAGCTTTTTGTCGTTTTCCTCGTATACCGCTTTGGAACACAAACAGCAGACGAGTTGCCTGGAGCAGTTGCCTTCTCCGTACGAGGTCCGGCGAGGAGTCCGTAGCAGAGGTCAGCCCAGGCAATCTGCCGTGCGGGACAGCAGTACAGGGCGAATGAAAACGAGCCCTTCTCGTCGAGGAGAGATTGGTAAGAGCAGCAAAGGGCCTGTCGCCCGCAGACAGTAACTTTGCACCATAAATAGTAACTCGGAGCAGAGCTCGCCCGCCGACGGGCGGGGCTGCTGGAGCCAGCCTCCAGGGCGGGACGGCACCGCCACCACCGGCGCCACGACGCTCAACAGATGCTGATGAGGTTAAGAAGTTTTAATTCCGCCCCTTGACTGGTTTCATTTAAATATTTAACTTTGGCGGGGCCAGCAGCCGAGCAGCGGCAGCAGACATCTCGCTCTGTTCACTCAGTCAGTCATGAGCTACCGACTCGCTAAAAACACCCTCCTTGCCCTCCTTCGCACGCGCTGATTTCATCATCCGCAAACGCTCCCGTCCAGCAAAGTCCGAGGCGGCCAGCGCTTCCCAGAGATAGATTTTCTGCCCGGCGGCGGGAGGGCGTTTCTATTCGCTCTGCACGGTGGAATTTACTGTGCGGGGCGCGGGCCGGGCAGACAGGCGGCGCCGCTGTGTGCCTTTCCTTTCACATTCTTCTCACGCGCTGCACTGGTACCCCCGGCTTGTTAAGTCGTGCGAGTGTGAGGCTGGAGGCCCGGCGGCCGGGGTAGGGGCGGGCCGAGGGGGCGGGGGAGAGGGGTGAGTTGAGAAGGGGGGGGTCCTGATGACGCCATGAGATCCGAGCTGGCCGCCGCGTGGCTCAGGCTCCGGGCTTTGGCTTCAGGCTTCAGCGCATCGTGGGGCAGCTCAAGCTTACACTGCCCAAAACAAACACACTGTAGAATCTGTACACTGTAAAAAACACCTTTGGTGATCTATGTCAGTTTTTTTTTATTTCCGATTCACAAATCGTTTAACGATATTCGTAAATGTGCGAATGCCTGTAGCAACTTTACCACAACACATTCCTACTCATACTCGTCGGTCACGCCAATACATCATTGTATAAGAAATTTAGTCATTTTGATAGTTAAATGAATAACGTGACGACTTTTCTCCTAAAAATCGCGTTAAGCCTTTGACAATTTGAACAGCACGCTGTAAAAAAACGATTGCAAACTGCATTCTTTGCATCGCTTGCTAAGCCGGGTTGATACACTGAGAATTTTTTTTCCTGACGGGCACTTGACAGTTGTTTATTGCGTCCTACTTTGTTCCTGGCACAAAAAATTTAGTTCCGGCTAGTAAAATGACTGTGCTTGGCAACAACAGTTTGAAGCTCGGCAAACAAAACTTTGGTGCCCAGGCAAAACTGTAAAATGCGTCAAAAACTTTCGGTCTCGGACAAAATGTTCAGTGCTCAGGACCCAAATTTTTTCTTAGTGTAAGTTCGACAAAACCTCGAGCACGCCTGATTGCGGTACAGAACTTTTATAAAAGTACAGCGATGTGTCACTAACCCTTTATATGAAAAATAACGTTCAAATTATTATTTTTGTCGCACCCGTATGAGAGGGTTTACGTTAGCATTACGCAGTGTGCCTCACACTTCCGTTCGGTTCGGCGTCGCTCCGGTAATGAATTAATGTCGGCCCCACATTGCCACGCCTGCTCCAAACCCGCACAAATAATCTCCTTGGGGCTCATGTAATGGAAATGAGGCAGGCCGCACAAAAGCAACTCCCAGGAGCCAAAAATCCTTCCCGCATCTGATTTAAACAGCCGTACTTGTGGCGGCTCTAGCCCCGCGCACACTATCACCAAAAATAGCTGGAAAAGATGCACCCACTTTCAAGCGCATTACACATTATCTATCTAAACAAGCTATCGCGTGTCCCATAAACGTGTACACATTTCGGAAACTGCGAAAGGTAAATCATTGCAATAAATGAATTAGTCACTATACACGTAACTGACCCAGTTAACTTCAAAATAGACATCATCACTTTTGCGCCACTTGCATCGAAGAAACGTGTTGAGAAGCGATCAGAGCGCGCCCCTATTACGAGCAAAGTACCTTCTTGGCGCGTGCAGCAAGGCTCGATTTATCGCCCAGTAATTAGGGGGATAATTAGTTGTGCCGCATGAAGTACGGAGGTGAGGACGCGAGTGTACGAGAGGGAGAGAGAGAGAGGGGGGGAGGAAGAGAGAGAATTAGGTACAGCAATAAAGTGGGAGCGATACGATAAAATCCTACAATAGCAGGAGATATGTACTAACAAAATAGGGGCTGTCCGTGTCCGATTCATCCAAGGTGAAAAATCTGCATGCAATCGCTACTCTGACCTCTCACAACCCTTTATTATTATGTACACCCGAGGTTGACGGGTTGCGGGTGGCAGGCAGGCTCTTAGTGCCAGAACGTCTCAAATTATCCACATGAGCTTATTAACAATTTCAGAACCAGAAATAGAGCACAAGGTCACATTAATGACAACCAAGAAATCATCGTAAGTATTTTTTCTTCTGTTTTGTTTCCTTAAAAAGGGGGGAAGCCGGGGGGAAAGCTATTCGATGGACAACAACATAGCTACAAGCGATACCACTTTTTCAGATTTAGCAGTGAAAGGAAAATCATCGGCAGCAGCATGAGAGAGGCGCAACTTTTCGTTTAGCTCTTGTTGGGACTTTGAGATTGGTGAAGTTTGGCGAGTTGAGCCCCATGTCCGCACCCACATCCCGACACTATGCTTACACTGCCGCCCACCCGGGCGCGCGACTGCCCCCTGCAGCGACAGACAGAGACACCCTGCTGGGCGTACACGACGGATTTGTGGCAGATAGAGGCGACTAACTGCGTAACAGCCCACAGACACGGTCGAACTGGTCTGGCGGACACTAGGGGGCCTCAACCACTGGCGCCGCAGGCGAAGAACAGTTACACTGGAAATAATTGGGTGCACTTTTGTCTGCACACTGATGAACAAAGTGTTCAACTGGCGTGCACATACACGTGCTCATCACTTTAATGAACACTATTAAGTGTTTGAATACTTCGAAGTGTTCGTGTTCAACAGTAAGTTTGAACACTTTAATTAATGTTAGTTGTATTAGATTTTCGTAATGATGTTTAATAACTTTTTTATTACGTATTGGAGAATCTCACGACCATGGTAGTCTGTAAACTAATACAGAAATTTAGCGATCAAAAGAAGCTCTCAATATTTTGGAAAATTTAGCTGCCACGACATTTAGAGTTAAACTAGGATTTAACTAAAAACTTACTTTGGCTTTAACAGTAAAGTGTTACTGAGTTTAAGTGATTGGTGATTGTACCCGCTGATCCTGTCTGTCTCGGTGTCAAAATTTTGGGTCAGTAGGTAATGTTTAGAATGTGCACACCAAGCACTTGTGCAACTTGAGCTAAACACCATGTAATTTTTAAAATCATAACTAGCACACGTTAGTGTTTAAATTATGCACCCTTGTTTTACCAGTTTTCAGAATTGGGGTGGGTTCCCACCACACATCTCTGACGTCAGGCTTTTTCAAAGCCTTTTCCAGACTGGTGCCGCAGCTGAGCTTGCCCGAGCCCGTCTTCAAGATGAGGGTAGATGCTGCTTTTTCAGTGCATCCTCCCGTTTTTTATACAGTTGACTTTGAGCGTAATCATTCTGCCTGCCTCGCTGGGCCTTAACGATCCGCCGCCCAAAGTCGCAACACAAACACCGCCTCTCTAGTTGCATCGCAGACTTCCACGAGGAGGGGCAGGATAGAGTGAGGGCGAGGGAGAGGGTGATGGTGAAGACGAGGGGGAGAGAGAGAGATGGAGGAAGAGGGGGGCTAATCTGGTGCAAAGTAAATGCCCGCCGTGAAGTAAGGGGGTGGGCGGGGGATAAGCCAAGAAGTTTACAGGAAGTTTGCTGCACAGCTCCACTGCAGCAGAATGCACAACCTCGCTGCAAGGAGACAGAGATAGAAGAGGAGGCGAGACTGAGTGAGTGAAGCAGTAAGTGCTGATGAGTGAGGAGCGAGAAAGAGACAGCAAGAGAAGGAATACACGGGAGAGGCCGGTATGGGTAAGGGGCTTGCCACATTTTGACAGCCTAGGTCAGAAAAACATACGCGTATCAGGAAACGCCAGCGCATCGCATAACCGGCCAAAAGGTTCCCGTCGTCACTACGGATACGGCCTGTATCTGGTTTCGCGTTGTGCCCGCGCCTCGCCACGCCCTGCCACGTCGCGTCACGCCGCACTCGTGACACGTCAGCCTGAATAATCCAACTAATTTGAATATTGATGCGGCGACTGAGAGGCTAACTGAGCAGGCGTGCTGCAGCCATGCTTGGCTGGATGCCTATATGGCGCGGCGCGCTCCACCGGCCATAGGCGTGGCGGGGCGTGGCGGGGCGTGGCGGGGCGAGGCGTGGCGGGGCGAGGCGGGGCGCGGCGCCTCATTACATATACATAAGCCCGGGCGCATCCCAGCCTGCGGCCCCGGCGGCCCCGGCCGTTGCCGCTGCGGCCACCAAAGCACAAAACACCGACTGACACTGACGGCCACAGTTGCGCTCCCTCTGATCATCGGCGTGTTGTTTTTGCGCGCGTGCATATGTTGTATTTGAACGGGTCGCAATGGACATGTGCGCGTGGACTTATACAGGACTTACATGTTGGGGTGGTTTGACTTTGCCAAGGGCGGGCGGAGGGAAACAGCGATGACGCTCAAAACAGCACCACGTACCTGAAACATACAAAACGTAAAAAGAAAAATTAGGTACAATTTGTACACTTTTCCACGCCAAACGTGTTTGGTGCTACATTTTACCAAAAGAAGTCTCCCCGCAGGCTGCCACCCGTCTATGAGCATATTCATACCCCTCCCCCAACCCCTTACCTCTCACACACATAGACACGCACACATACACGTGAGATAAAGTGCCACTTGCTACTCTCATTTCCCTCGAGATCGTAAAGACACACACAATCGCCGTGTCGGCCCCGCCGCCGCCCGCGCGAGCGGAGGAGAAAGGTCGATAAAAAGGCGCAAAAAATTGGCGCACGATACAAAGTTTGCTTATATTTTCCTCGCGGCGCCGAAGGTTTCCGTTTGGCCCTGCAGCGGCCGCGCACTTCATATGTGTTTTGGACTTTACGGCATCCTCACGTATCCGAAGGCGGAGACGCGCTGAGGCAGATTCGCGAATGGGCTTCTATAAACAACATCACCAAATTTCATGTGTGCAAGGGCGTTAAAACAACAACACAGAGACGTTGAATGTTTTCCAACATGGACCACACGTGACTTTCCAGCGCGTGCTCTTCACTTGTCTCTTAGCAGCAACGGACAGTATTTGCAAGTGCCAAATGAATCTTCGGACCGAGTGCACAGAATAAGTAGAACCAGAGATAATCCATTTTGTATAAAGCATATGAGCAATTCCTCTTGATCGGGATTCGGTCCTGCCTTAGAGTATACCGGAACAAAATTGAGGCTTTGTGCCGCTGGTGGGTTGGGTCCCGCCCCGGTCGGGCCCCAGCAAGGCAGGCGGACCGGGGCGGAGCTGGACGGCGCGCGCTGCAGACCGTAGCTAACGCCGAGGAGTGCCTCGTCCATCGCCCGCCGCGGACCGTAGCAGGGAGGGGGGGGGGGGGAGGGATGTGCATAACCGTTTTGTTTTAGTGCCGAACTAGATCGTAGCCCGAGAAGTATAAAATAGAACGACTAGGGCGCCATGGCCAGGCGCGTCAATGATTTGCAGTTCGAGTAACCGCGCGGCACACAACCGGTCGCCTGGTGGAGGAGTGAGAGCGGAGTATGGGAGCAGCTAGGTCACGATTCGAGGATTACTTCTCACAACAAATGATGTGGTTTTAATATAATTCCAGTTTTGTGAAGATCTATTCTTTTCCTTCAGGGTGTCGCTGGTTACCCTTTTCCTCTTGAATAAGAGGTTTCCTCAATCGTGGCTGTGTAAGTGTGTTGCGCAGTTTAGAAAAGCAGCACCGTTTGTATGGCTCCGGGGGACACGGGCGGGCGCGCACGAGACGGGCCTCATCACGGAGAGGAAGGGAGCGGTGAGGCTCAAGTGGGCTGGGCTCCGCCGGGCTGGCTGCAGTAAGGCCCCAGTAAACGGGCTTTCATCACACGCACGGCAAAAAAAAGGAAGAAGGGAAAAGAGAAATACACAAACGTGATAGGCACTCGGTGTCCACTGAACGTTGCTAGCTAATGTAGCCTCAATATTAATTGTCTTAAAGAATAAAAGACAGAATGCGGATGCTGATGAGAGACCATAACGGGACTATCTGTCGAAGGAGAGAGACGAAGGCAGAGGGGAACAACAATACTTTCTGTCAGCTCCGCGGGCCCTACTGCTGCGGCCCGTGCGAGATTTGACGCCGTATTGGCTCTCCTGATGGGGTCCGCCTGCCAGTGGCCAATCCACTGGCGACAGCCTTTCTCTCGGCTCTGTGAGCGGCGGGGCTGTGGAGTCAGGGCCGCAAGCCCCCTAGGGGTTCCAGGCTGCTTCCAGGGCAGCCTCAGGCTGCCCCCAGGCCGCCTCTAGGCCGCTAAAGGCGCGTGCCGGGGGTCGCCGCCCAGACAAGAGAGCTCGTCCTGCGCCCCAATACCGTCTGATGGAGGGCGGCGCGCGCCGAGCGGCCATCAGACTGATAAGGAAAAACAATATTCCAGCCTCACCCACCCCCGCCATCGCTCCGCTCTCGGCCGCGTCTCTTTTGAATGGCCCGCTTGTATGCAAGCAGCACGCACGATCATCTGGGCTTTGCTCTTTTCCTCTCTTGGCAGTGTCCTTCCCCCTCCCCCTCGCCGCCCCTCCGCCCCTCGTTTGTTCGTTGCCAGTGTTCTCCTGATGCTGCTCCTCTAGGAGGGTTCGGTCAAAGCACCGGGGGGATCTGAGCTGGGGCAGAACGGGTAGAGTTCGGTCTGGTGGTCCTCCCGGCCGCCTACGGGCATGGCAATCCCCTCTTCTCCTACCCTCCCCCTCCCCCGCAGCTCCCCCTTTCCGGGGGCGTCGGAGCGCTTCGTTAACCTCTGACCCGCCTGCTTTGCATTGCTACCCGCATTATAATTCTCCAGCCAGCCACTCCAGCAGGTGCGAATAAAAGTAACGTCGGCTGGAGGCTGAAACAATGCCCCGAGGCGAAACGAGGCGCGAGCGGGCGAGTACCACTCCAAGAAAACAAACCGGAAAAAAAAAACAGAATCACGCCCGAACGACATCGAAAAAATAAAAAGATGGAGAAGGAAACAAAAACAAAAAACGGTTTTGCTGAGTCTACATGCTCTCTCTGGAGTGGGTGGGAGGGGATCCTGCATGGCCACAAAAGGGGCAGCAGCGCGGTCTGACGGCGCGGAAACAGGTGTGGCGGTCTGTGGGGTTGTGTGTGGCCGCCTCGCTGCCCCACCCCGCCCCGCCCGTCCACTTGGACGCTTCTCACCTCGTTTTATTTTGTCTCCACTGCGTCAGCATTCGTTCTCTGGCCACCCTACCATATGAGCATCCCTTCTTCCCCAACCAGGTCAGCGCCGGCATGTGCAGCCCTCTCCCTGCCCTACCCCCGCCCTACCGCTGGCTTTTCCCACGCTCTCATTCAGGGGGTGGTTCTGGGCGGAGTTGCACCCTCCAGGCAGGGCGGGGCACGGGGTGGGCCCCACTGAATGCCCCTTCCCTGCGGGCTGTGTCCCTTTTGACCTAAAAGCGCTCCGAGCTGCTGCACCCTTTTTCTTCCTTTTTTTACTTGTATCCCTTTGGGCTCGTTTAGGCCAATTGGGATGCCTAGCGTAGAGTAACAGAGGTAGAACGGAGCGCACCTGCATACGGCGGCCAGAGTGATGTAGCACCCTTCGCTGAAAGAAGTCGTACAAGGATACTTCTCGGGCGCAAATGTAAAACCCTAAAGTTGGACACTGTAATATCATGATATCAGCTCCAGTGTTGAGCAAACAGGTTGCGAAATTGAAAGTCATGGAATTTCTAATTCAACACTTGTACGCAAACAAATTTCATGTTTAACACCAGTTAGTTGAACATCTGCAAGTGCTCTTCCAGTACACATTTTCACATCTTCACCTACCCGTGAGACGCGAGGCTGGCTCTGGACTTTGCTCCAACTCTGAATTCAATCTTTTTTGCGGAGCCGGAGCTTTCTGTAACGCAGTAGGCCCCCCCGGAGGCCCCCAGGCTACAACTAGCAGCCGCAGAGCCGGCAGACTGACGCGCAGCAAAAGTGGCCGCTCCCCAACCCCCTCCCCGCAGCGCAGCCCCAGCCAGCAATCCAGTGGCCAGAGCGTTGCCACATTTTTGAATAAGCGAATTGTTCTTGGCCAACTGGGGACAGAGAGTGCCATGGAATGGGGCTGGGGTTGGAAAAAGAGGGAGAAGAGATGGGAGCGGGCTGGGCGGCGGAGTGGGTGGGAGTGAAAGGGTGTTGGGAAGGGAGGGGGGACTCGTTAGCCTGCAGCGTCAATTCAATTACACCACAATTACGCATGTACTGTCCGTGCGTTATTGCGGGCTGGAATTACGGGCGTTTCTTGCTAAGGGAAAAGCGAATCGGGAGAGGGTAAAAACAGGGAGAGGAGAGGGAGAGTAAGGGCGGGAGTGGGAGAGTGGGAAAGATGAACAGAGAGAGAGAGAGAGAGAGAGAGAGAGAGAGAGAGAGAGAGAGAGAGAGAGAGAAGCGGGGTGAAACAGAATTTCAGGATATTATTGCGACCAAGGTCTGGTGATACTGTCTAGCATGAGGCGAAGGGTGCAAATCTCTCGAGGCAGCTTCCAGTGACTTGCTGGACATTTTCAGGCGCAATTCATTCCCATTGAATTGATTCGAACGCCCTCCTCGTTCACGCAGCATCAAAGCCGATTCAGGGTCCGGTTCTTGCTCGTCGGCAATACAAAATCAATTGACATTGAGAGGACACCGATTGACTGGTACGAGGCCTGTTCTGTTCTGAGGGATGGAGGAGAGGAGAGGAGAAACGAAAGGGCAAAGAGCAAGAAAGAGGGAGAGAGAACGGAACGCTGGGGTCGGGTCATCATGAACGAGCCGGCGGAAACTGCTGTGAATAGTGAGAATAAGAGAGGTGCAGAGTGGTACAGAGAGCGCGAGCAAGATGGAGAGAGAGAGAGAGAGTGTTGGAGAGAGAGGGAGAGAGAG